AAAGGCTTAAAACGTTTCTACATATATAGCCATATAGCTAGGTACAGGAGAAAAAAGATTCCAAGCCGTTTACTGTGAGGATCAATGCTTTAGATTATATTTCTTTTAGTCGTATTTATAAATTATTTTTATCAACTTTATCATTATTAATATAATAATAATATAAGGAATAATTATAAATGAAATTTTAAAACTAACTCTCAAAATAAAAATATAAAAAGTATAATTAGTTAATATAATATTATTTTTCAGTATTTCTCTCCCCTACCTTACATATGTGGGACCTTTACAGTGAAAAAGACAAAAAATTGATAATGAATGAGGATCAATTTTGGAACAAAAGCAAAAGTGAATTAAGAAAGAGAGTCAAAGAAGTCAAAAAAATAAAGGTATTTTGGGAATTTTATTTTAAAGTACAGAGTTACCATCAGTCAGTGACTTATATTGAGGACCAAATTTGGCTTCTATAATGTGTCTAGTATAGCGGGCAAGATGGAGTATGGAGTATATTATATTGACTCGAGAAAATCCGATGCACTCAAAACACACAATGGAATTTCCATCGGATACAATGCGTAACTGAAGCTGGCCGGCGAATATTCAAAGCTGATGTGTTCTCATTGGAAAATTGTAGGAACCTACAAAAATATTAAAGGAGGGAAGCTATACAGCTGTCAATTACGAATGCATGTGAAACGGAGGAATGAATATTTGTGAGTATCATAGTTATACTTGTTTCATGGGTTTCATGCCAAAGCCTATTTCGTGGCTTCTAGTCACGCTTGATTATTTTGTGGTTTCTACCCATGCTTGTTGGTGACTTACTATCACGCCCTGAAAAGAGGATGATTGGCACAGGTATGAACTCATCACTCATTTTTGTAAGCCTTAACATGAAAATTCATTCCGCTTTAAAAAAAATTAAATTATATAGAAATTCTAACAGTTTTAATATTAATTGTCATAACAAGGCTTCAATATTTTTGTAAAAATTTTAACAGAACCTTCTATGTAAATAGAATTTCCTGAAAATTCTACAACAAAATTTTTACATAATACAGTATCAATCAAGAGCTTACCTCCTTCCAGCCAACAACAGTATATAAATCAAAATAAAGTTCTAACAATAATTTATGTGGAGCAACTAATCTTTCTTTTAAATTTAAAATGCATAAGTCCTAAAATATTTACATAAAAAGGTAACAATAATAAGCAAAATTTTCACCCAGTATAATTGTATTGCCCTTTTGAGGTCGGTGGTAGGATCAGTGTCAACTAACGAATCTGAGATCAAGATAAATTTTTCAATGAATATCGTCTCAACAATAAATAATTTAGTCATGAATAAAAAAAAGTTCAAAATAATTATGTAACTAAAGAGATAACTTCTTCCATAAAAAATTTAATAAGCTTTGGAATAAAATGGCTCTATAAAATTTAAAGAAAATCGTAAACTATTGAACTATCATAAAAATTGTTATTATCACTTGACTTTAAGAAGGCACATAAATGAAGTAAATACTTGTGAATAATTTACTAGGTAAAAATCAACAGGATATAAAATAACCAAATAAATAAATTCACAATTATAGGGACTTATTAGAACAATCAACAAACGTAGACACACAGTCTATAAAGGTAAATAACCAAATATAGTCTGAGCTACAAAACAAACATGGACACATAGTCTACGAGAGTAATGCTAACCAAACGCAGCTTGAAGCCATGAAATTAAACTCGAGTACAAGACTCACAAATAACAAACGTGAGAACAAAGCTCACGAAAATGAAACTAGCTAGTCATTAACCATGACACGCCAAGGGCTAATGGGACTGCCGTTAGCAATCAGTGTTTTGTGTAAAGTCTCTTTGAAAAATTAATTTTTCAAACATGCAAGAAAAATAATCATTATCAAATTAAAATTTCATTTCAAATGTCGAACTTGCATGAATCATTTTTTTTTGTATCAATCCAATATTTGATAAAATAAAATTTCTTAATCAAAGTCCAAACTTGTATCTACTAGTTATCAAATCTAGTAAAGTTAATTTCTCAAAATAAATTAATTTTAATCAGCAAACATCCAATAATCATATTGTTGCTACTAAATAATTTGTAGAAAAAATTAATATTTTAGAAAAGGAAATTTGATTGAAAAAATCAGTTGGGATGATATTCACTTACTTGAAATTTTTAAAATTAAAAATGCACTTCTCACCATTGATCAAATTCCTCCTCCTCCAAATACCCTATAAATTAAATTAAGACTTTTCAGTAAACATTCTATAAATTCAATTATTTCCTCCCAACCTTACTACTATCAAAATTTAACTATAATAAATTTGAAATTTAAACTTTACACATAACAATCCCTGTAGCTCATTATTCGAATAAAATACCATCTCCCCCTTAATCTTTTGTCAAATTACCAAACATGCATCATTTCCAACCCACTCATAAAAACATCTAATATTCTCATCTTTTATAATAAAACTTATCCACAACCATATTTTTTCTAGGAATTCAAATAGTTGGTACTAACTTCATACTCAAATTTCCTTTGAAATCTCCAAATCAAATTTATGGAGCAATAATACTCAATTTTTTTTTCCACAATCTCAAACAAACTTCTTCATCTCAATGCTCAATATCTAAATCATAAAATCAAGTTCTTTTTTTTCTCATTAACTCCCTTTCCAAAGCTTTTCTTATATCTATAACTAATCTATTCACCTCCCAACATCCATCAAAGAGAGTAATTATCTTCTAATGATAATTTATTTAATCAAAAATATCCTCATCATATATATATATATCATGCCATTATATAAGAAAAATTTCTCTCAGTCATTTTGTCAAACACCTTGCGGCCATTAAGCTTTGAATAATAACTAAGCTTCTTCATATGTAGTTCTACTTCCCAAAAATTCTTCAACATAAATATATGAATAAATCAACTTTCTAAGTTCCATTCTTTTAACAAAATCAATATACATTTTAATATAAATCAAGCCCACACTAAATCACCTTCATTGGACTAAAATTCAGCTTAGTTCCACAACCCCTTTTTCCACAAACACGTGCAGCATAGGAAGGAGTATTCATAATATTGCATTACCTCAACCCAAAATCACACGCACATAGCAAGATGAAGAAAGATGGAAGCTTCTCACCTCAAACTATTACCAAGCTCTTCTCTCTTTCAATCTCCTTCCAATAATTCCCATTATAAATATTTAGATTAGACAGCCCCCCATATTCCATTTCTTCAACGTGACCAAATTCACACTAAAAATCAATTTAACTAAGAAAATTCGAACCCATATATATGATCCTCAAGCAACAGCCAGAGAAAATATAGATAAAATTCTTTATATCTATATCTATATATATAAATGCATTCCTTATAATTAATTCCAGCTTGCTTGAATCCCCATCACATCCCCCTCTGTGAACCATACTTGAACAGAGAGAGAGTATCTAGTTCAACAACAACCCAAATAGCAAACCCAAAAAAAAAAAAAAAAATCTGCTGCAAGAGGAGGAAGATGAAATTCAACTCACCAGGGAAGCCAATGAAGTAAAGAAAGAGACTGAAACTTCCACACCTACTTCCAAAATGACAATATACATCACGACAGAGGAATCAACACACTCCCTCAGCTGCTTTAATGGAGGAGGAAGGAAGAGTCTTCGACGCGCGCACAAACACCGGCAACAGACAGAAAGAAAAGCTAGTGAACGGACGAGCTAACTAACACTGCGACAGTGAGCGATTCAGCGACGCAAAGCAGGGAAGAGAAACCTGGCATGATGCCCACTAAAGGAAGGAAAAAACGGATTCAACAACACCAGACCAGTAGAAAGGAACTCACGACCAGCCTACCAGCTCCAGTGACCTGATTCCTCACGCAAACCAGCTACATAGACGTGAATCGACAAGAATAGGGCAGTAACGAGGACAGCAAATAGGGACGAGGAGGATGATGGAGGGCTGGGCGTTGCAAGACAGTAATGAACACCCATATTCGCCAGCTATGCCAAGGAAAATGGAGGGAGGTCGAGATTGAGCGATGGGGGTGAAGGTTTTTGCCTCTCTTTCTTTCTAGCTGCCGAGCATGAAAATAGGGAAAATGAATATCTGAACCCTTCTGTTGGCCAGAATGCCTTTATCGAGTGAGAGAAAGAGAAAGAAAGAAGGGAAAAAAAAATCTAGTGATGGCAGGGACAATTTGGTAATTTCACAGGACTTAAAAAAAATAAAGCCCCATATTTGCTTCAGCCAGATTCAAACTTGGAACCAAATTTATTTATCCTTATAAATTATGTGTCTATATTTGTTAATTGCTTTGATTAAGTTTCGCTAATGAAGGAATTTTAAAACTATTTTCTTGAAATTTGATCTTGGAAAGCAAACTGTTATTTTTATTACATATGAATTTTGTTTAAGCATCTTGAGAGATAGAGAGAGGGGAAGAAGAAGAAAATTTGAAATTTTTAATAATTTTTATGTGCATTTATGTATTCATAGTTTATATTATTTTCAATTGATTATTTTAGTAATTTATAATTGACTCATTAATTTGCATTCTATTATTCCTTCAACTGTAAATTGAGGCGCTACTCACCAAAAAAATTTTCTTTAGTTTCAGATATTGACACTGACCCTGCATCTTCTATTGATCGTTGAGAGAAACAATTGTTTTTAGACCTATGAAAACATGAGTTAGTTACTTTTGATGTAAATGTATTTTATATTATGAAATGCTATTTTAGTGCTCTGTAGTTTGATCCTAATTTTATTTTGCTAATATGTAATTTACTAGAGTGGAGCTAGTCTCCTTTGCTAAGGTGGCTGATAAGTTTGCTATTATAAAAATTTTGAGGTTCAAATTACAAGAGAGACTCTATTGAAATTCCTTCAAAAATATTTAACACTTTACAAACTTATCAAATTATTTATAGATAAATTAACTTAATCTTTAGTTAGTTAAAGCTTATGGAATGTGAATCTATCTCAAATTCCATGCCAGTTATACTTGTAGTATTAGGGTGTGACAATTTATTAGGTTATTACATCTTGGAGAAGGCTCTAGGGAATGTTGACCACCCTAGCCATGTTTGGGGTTTAGGATTTGGAGTAATCAAGAAGGAATACTTTGTCAATACCCCAAAGAAACCCAAGAATGCTACCAGTGTTATAGAGGTGGATTTGTTGTGGCAAGAGCTTTACAAAACTCAGGTAGTTGTGGAGCAACAAAATAAATACATTGAAATGTTGCTTGAGGGGCATATGCTGAGGATTTTTGACACTGAATTTAGCCCCTCGAGTGTAAAAGAAAGCTATAAAGGCTTCCCTTCTCTAAAACTACCTGAGGTAATGTTATTAAATGCTTTAGTCTTTCTCCTTTTATTTATTTCTTACTCTTTTCTCAAGTAGTATGATGTTTTTTTCCTTTTTTTTAGGGAGAGGTCGAGATTGAGTGCCTAGCTGACATCTCACAGTTGCATGTTGTAATATCCTATTTTTATTTGGAAATTTAATTCAAGAAAATTATAAGAATAAGTTTTTATTTAAGAATTTAAGTTAAGGAAATGATAAGGTTTACTTAATAATTAAATTGTGTTTTGAGGTAAATGAGTTTGGGTACCCTTTTATATGGAGATTATCACACCTCAAAAACAGAAGGTGACTAGCATGGGGTAGGAATCATTTCACATCTCACTTAAGCCTTAAATCAAGGAATCTTCCATTTTCAAAACATAATTATATTTATACTGAAATTATAACATCCTTAATAGTTTTTATATTAGCACAAGCTTCACTATTTTTGTAAAAATTTTAGCAGAACCTCCCCTATAAGTAGGGCCCCTTGAAAGCTTTGCAACACAATATTTAAACAAAATCAGATAACAATCAAGAGCTTGCTCCTTTTAGCCAACAAACAGAGTATATAACCAAATTAAAGATCCTAACTATAGTATATGTGAAACACCTAATCATATTTTTCATGACATAACACATCAATTTCATATTTACATCAATAAGAAATATTTACAAAACAACTCTCCACCTAGCTCAAAAAAAATCCATCATTGGTAAGTAGGACGCACAGCGTTAGCTATGCTATCTGAGACTAAAATAAGTTTTTAGTAAATAATGTCCCAACCATAAATTTTTGTAAAATCAAAAAAAATAAAATACAATAGTTATATAAATTAAATGAGAAAGAAATTCAATGTAAATAAATTTGTAAACTTGGAATAAAAATTCTATATAACCTTAATAAGAAGAACATCTAAATCTATATTGACAAAGTAGCTTTAACATTTGATCTTGACAAATCAAAATTATTAAATAATAAATGAGAATAACAATGTTTACTAATTGAAAACTATTAAATAAAAAATCACCAATTAATTAAAAATTTACATTTTTTGGAAATATATTAGAACAGTTCACAAACGTGGACACCCACAATTTATAAAAATAACCAAACGTAGCTTAAGCCACAAGACAAACGTGAAGATATAGTCCACGAGAATAAATAATTAAACGCAGCCTGAGCTATGATACAACTGTGGATACACAATCCACAAGAATAATACTAACCAAACGCAGCTCGAAACTACGAAAACAAACGTGAGTATGAGACCCACGAATAACAAATGTGAGAATAGAGCTTACAAAGTTTGAACAAGCTAGTTATTACCCATGGTGTGCCAATGTCTAACGAGAGTGCCATTAGCAATCAGTGTTTTATATAAAATTCCCTTTAAATCTATTTTCAAACATGTGAGAAATTTATCTCTAGAAAAATATAGTTTCCATTCTTAAAGTCAAACTCACTTAAATAGCTTTGAGCGTTAAAAACTTGCCAAAATAAAATTTTGAAACTAGTGTCCATGTTTGCATTTATTGAGTAATCCAAAAATAACCAGAGGTGATAAAAATAATTCATCAATTTTGAAAGTATTCTTCGCAATGAAAACACATACACATGCCATAATTCAAATATCCTTCAATATCTTTTATAATTTTGCAAGATAAAATAATTTAATTAACAAAGTATTAAATATGTAACATAATTGTTATTGAATGATCTATGTAAAAAATATCTTGGAAAAAGAATCTTATTGATACATCAATTGGGATGCTATCCACTTACCTAAAATTCTTAGAGTTCAAAATTCATCACTCAATTTCAATCAAATTTCTTCTTTTCCAAATACCCTATAAATTATATTAAGATTTTTTATTAAATATTTAATTAGTATAATAATTCCTTTCCAACCTCACCACCACCAATATTAAACTACCACACATTTGAGACTTTAGAAATCAAGGCTTTACACTTTTAAATCCTCGTTATCATTCAGTCAGGGAATCGATTATATCTCTCATTTCCAAGCCACTCATAAAAATTATAGCATTCAAACATTTCCTCAATAAACTATCCATTTCCAAGAATTCAAACAATAGCATATTATTAATTCCTTAGTCACATCTCCCTCGCAACTTCTAATTTTATAGATCAATAATAACACCCGTTTTAAACATACTTATCACAATAAATGAACACAGCAGAATCGTCCAGCTTCAGCAACTCAGGTCTTCACTCACACCAATGGCACGTAAGGAAACAGACCCACAATCTGCACCTCAATAAGGTGGTTCACAATTAGCCGAAAACTGGGAAGAACAGGGGAAATTTAGCAGTCACACAGCAGTGAAATGAACTTCATCCCCTATCAACGACACACAGACAAAATAGTGGCGAGCTTCACATCGACGACAATTAAAAATGAAAGGGAAGAAGGTGATAGTACAAAGGAGAATGAAGGAATGAAAAAAAATCAGAGCACTCTCTCTCCTCTTGATAGGTCTGGAATGATTGAAGAAGAGGAGGAAATATATTTCAGATTTGAACACAGGGAAATTTGGTAATTTCTAAGAGCAAAAAGGAAAAAAAGGCCCCATTTGGCCGGACCTAGTGTATGAGTTACTTGCATAACCTCCACTGTACTAGCTTTTCCTTTTTGCCTTAATAGTCCCAAAAACTAATATAATTACAATTAAAACACATTAATACAAATTTAAGTTTACTTAAAATTCATGGGTTATTACAATATCAAAAATACTTGCTACTATACCTTCAATTTTCCTTGACAAATTTACCCCACAATATATAAAAATATATTTAACATACCTTGTCATAAATTTTGAATTAAATAATTTTTTGTCTAGGTTATTACAGAGAAATGCCCAATACTGAAGCCCATTATGAGTTTCACTAAGTAGAAAATATAGTAGTTAGATTATGTCATATTATATCCAAGATTAAGTTACAACTATTCAAGAGAGAAGCAGAGAGAATTATTTTTGCATCTATATAGAGCGATCTTGATAAATTAACCATTATGAAGTCGTTCACTGTTGGATCAATCTAATTTTACTCACAAGGTTTGTAACTTCAAATCCATCCTTTTGAATGGATGGATTATTGATTAGTTTCCTTATTAAAGAGTTATTAACTTCATCATTTCTAATAGCTGTTTTTGCATCTTCACAGAGCAATCTTAATAAATTGACTTTTTTGAGTTCGTTCACCATTGGGTTAGGCATAAAGTTTTTCATTAGGTTTTTAACATCCAATTCATCACTTTCAATTGTTAGATCATTTATTGAATTCCTTATTAGAGAGTCATTAACTTTATCATTTATAATAGTCGTTTTCACATTATCACAAAATAGTCTCAGTAAAATTTCACTTATGAATTTGTTTACCATTGGATATGTGTGAAATTTAGGTAGCCTGCTCGTGATGTCCAACTTGGTATTTTCAACTATTAGATCTTTGAGTCGTTTCCTTGTGTGAAATTTATTAATTGTGTCTTTCATATGAGATTTAACTTGGAATACTAGGCCTAATAAAGAATCTTTATGGTTAAATAACAGATTATGGAGACTTAGAGTGGGTTAGTTAGACTTTTGAAGGTCTAATGAATTTAATAAATCTAATGGAAACTCTAAACTAATTAATAAAATGAGTTTGGAGTGTTATGTTAGGTCATGAGTAGCGTTAGTTATGTACTTGTGCTCGGTAATGATAAACTCTATGATGTTAACTGTAGATTAATATTTTGTGACTGTTGTGCATGATTAGAGACCTTATGGAAGTGTGTTTTGAGTTCCCTTTTAATTGACTCGAAGGGTGGAGGTAACTGAGAACCTAAATTCCATCATATATTAATTTTAGCATTTATTGTATATTTTTTTTATAAATGATGTTCTTGAGAAAAAGGTGTAAGCATCATGAACTCTATATATATATATATATATATATGAGAATGTGCAAAAGATGTATGTGCATGTGATTTCTGCATTGTAAGCTTGAGTAATGAACTATAGCAGTAAATGTGATATATCATGAATTATTGTGGAATCATTAATTGTTGTTATTGTGGAATTATGAATATGTGATTTGCATATGTGGTAAAAATATTGAGAATGTGTCACTAGCATGATCGTAAATGTAATGTACATGTGTGACATAGCTAGGTGGGAGTTTATCATATGATCTGGAAGAGTATATTTAAGTCCATGTGGCATAGGCAATGTATAGGTAGCACCCAAAGTTATTTAGCTGTGGTACCAACTCCAACAAGGGTTAGGTGTGGTTTTAGCTTAGCCGATGATACTTACTTTGAAAGAAGGTTTGTGTATTAGCAATTCTATAACACCCTGTGGGCAAGGAAGTCCATGGTTCAACTTTGGGGAGCAGTGCCTTTGGCTAGTTTCCCATCAAATATTAGAGAGCTTGGGGTGAGTTAGGATATCTTGATTTAGTCATATTATTTGGTAGTCCATAAACTTAGTCAGAAAGAATAAGGAGGCTATAAGATAGTAGATGATCATGTATGCACATGTGTGTGAATATGTGTACCGTATGTGAATACATTGTATTTTATGTAATTTTGTGGTTTGGGATGTGGAACTGTTATACTTACACAACCTTAAATGCTATTTGAATATATGTTACAAGTTATGAATTTCTTAGTTGCTGAGGTGTTTATCTCACTCCTCATTGCTAATGTTTTTACGAGTGACACTTCATAGGTGTAAAGGAAAAAGAAATAAAAAGCATACAATTAGTAATTACTTGTAATGCCTTAGTGTATATGTTTAGAGGATTTATATTGTGTATGTTTATATATTGCCAACTAGGACTATTAGTACATATTAATTGTGAGTATGTGTTTTTTTATGGATTAAGTTGGATAACTCTTTGAGTATATGCCCATGAGGATCATGGTTAGTTAGCTAAATAAAAGATGAATTTATGATTATATTTGTTAAATGAGAAGTTTAGTGGG